ATGTTACTGACCAGTGCGTGGGGGCTCAACGCGAGGTTAAACTTCGTTCGATAAAAAAAGTGAATAATTTTTTTTTGTAAGCACGGTGCATTCTCAATATCTGATTATAAAAACTTTTCTATCGTCTCAGTGCCATGTAGCGACGATAAAAGCCCGTAATAAGGTTTTCCAACCGGTTTTGCCTCGCTAGCAGACGACACGAAGGCTTCGAGGGTTCAGTGGTTCTCTTTTGATGGAGCACGCGACTGCGTCGAATTAAGTTGGTGACTGATGACCGATGAAAATGCTTTTCTTTGGGTCGGCCGAGGAGCGACCTTTGTCTCGCTAGCGGGACGACGGTTCGATGTTGTGGTTGGTGCATAGCTGTACTCGTAGTTGCCGTATAATTCGTGGAGTGAACGTAACAATGGTCGCCGGAACGTCACACTGATGTGGCGAAATCTCGACAGTTGATTAATTAAAAAACGCTTAAAGAAAGAAACAAAAAACGTGGTAAGTGCTGGGGTAGGACCGGTACGTCACACAATGAGTTATGTTTTGGAAAGTGTTTTTTAAGGAGGTGCTGGAACGATATCCAGTGGTAATGTTTTTTCCTTTACACGAGCTTACTGGCACTATACTTCGTTTCACGTTATGTTGTACCGCAGAGAAGGCTAGAAGCGCGAGCTCATAGGGAATTGGCAGCCTTTCTTAAGTCACGAGAGCTTGTGCCGCCGCGAGATGTGTCCCAGAGCAAGGAGCTCGCGCTTGTAGCCTTTCCTGCTGTACATCATAAAGTGAAACAGAGTATAGTGGAACTCAAGCATACTCGCACGCGACGCCGCATGGCCAAGAAACTCATTTGTTGGGGTGTAATTTCAAGGACAATAGCTAGCGTTTTTGATTCAATTTCTCCTTCGTAAAACTTGATGACGTAGCTGGGCGGTCGCAGTACCGCTCAGTGACGATATTTGAATGCGGCTCATAGATTGGACCCGAGCATGGCGTGACACTCGATTTGGCCTCGTGATAATCGATAGCTCGAGAAGCATTCGGGTAGTATAGCCCGTGTCCAATCGCTGCAATGACGACAATAGCCGAGCCTTAACAATGTCTGGAACTCTGCGCGTGTCCTGCGCCTTGCCAACCCCAGCGCGTGGCTATGATCAACACTGGCGGCATATAATCGGCTCCAGATCACGTGGCTGCTTGTTTTGACTGCGAGTTGATGGGGTGAACGCAACATGTTTTTCATTCATTTTTTTTCTGCGACTTCGATGGCGTGTGGTGAAAAACGAATGGGCGTTTCGCAGGTCATTAACGTCAGGGATCCGTTCTAAGCGGTATTTGCGCAAAAAACGAAAATCGTTGCATCGCCCCTTTAATGAACAGCTTGTCGTACCGCCACGACGCACGGTACGGTCGCGGAATATATATATATATATAAAAAAAGCTGCAGGTGAGCGCGAAGGTCCCTCAAGTGCTACGTTAAAGGAAGAAAGCTGAGACATACGATTTCTCAGTCAGCACCCATAACAATGTTAATGAAAAAAAAGAAGAAAATTTTCGTCATTTATTTTGCGAACTTATTATCAAACGCCCGGAAAGTCGAGCTAGCCATGTGCGAGTACTGGTTCAAATGTAATAGTACTGCATCATTTATAACCGGGTGGATTCAATAAATTTGATTTTGCCTTTTTTTTTTTTTTTGTCGCGGAACGCCTTTATATTCGGCGAAATCAGCATTAACTCGGCGATATCTGCATGCAGGTCAAGCGGGGAGTGCTGCCAAAAACTGAACTGCCGCTGAAGACTCGATAATATAGCTGATCTGATAGATAGCTTGGCAGGCCTCGTAATCCACGCGCTCGCCGCTTTTTCGCGTCGTCCGCGACTATACGGGATTTGAGCATCGTTGGCACTTCCTGGAAGAGAACATTCACGTACACACCTCTATCGACGCATGCGGGGCACACGTTTCATAGTGTGGCGTAACAGAGACGGCGTTACTCGGAAAAGGGGCTTGCCAGACTGGAGCCGACTACCGAGAAATATGTACTCGGTAACCCCATTGTGACAGCGTTCGCGACGGTTGACCCGCTTTTTCGACGCCTAATACCCTTGTTACACGGGCACACTTAATTGCAGTTCGGCTAAGCCGCAGTTCGCCCACAATACTTGCGGACTACATGTTGTGGCTACGCAGTCAAAGCTATGGGCGCACTTGCACCTGAGCATCTTGAGCACCCGTCAAAGCAATGCACGCGCGCTGTTCACTTCTTCTGAAGTAGCTGTCCGAGAGTACAGTGCGGTAACTGTGGTGCCGCGTAGCAGTAGCTAAACATGAGTTAACTGTGGTTAAGTGTGCAGGTGTAACAAAGGTTTAATTTGCCCAGTGTCCATTTTGCCGTCAGAGCTTCGGGACGAATGGATAAGGGTAAAGCCTGCCTCACAATTTGCACTTGGGTTGAGACATTCAGGTTCATGTTACCTTACTAGAGTCTTTCAAAAAATCACGTTGTTCTCGCTTATTGAGGCATGATAAAAACATGATGCGTTCGATTGCCAGCTTTGTCGCCTTTTGGTCGAAGCTGTCCGATTAGCAAGGATATATATTTCGGTGTTACAAAGTACATCTAAAAAAATATAGGAACTCGTTTTTAGAACTGTTCTTTGCTGAGAAGCCTCAAACTGAGTTTCCTGGATACCCACTGTTGATGAACACTTCGGTTACTCTGCTGCCAAAACAAAATTACGAGAAAAGAATACCGGCTTAATAGGCTGACAGAGTTTTCACCATATACATAATTTCTGTCCATTTGTGCGTGGAAGATTCCTTGATAAATCGGGCGGCTTTATATTGTAGTACTTCGAGACTTCTGACCAGATAATCTTGTTACGGATTTCATATTATATTTGCATGTTTGAGTTTTTGGAAGAATGATAGGTTTATAGGGCCAGCATACGCGCACCCTGGGGTGCCTTTAAGGGGCCATCAAATTAAATTTGGCCTGAGATAAATAATTTTAGATTGGAATCCTACTAATCGCATATCGTTTTGTGTGCCAAAAGAAAGAGGGTAGAAAGTCAAAAGCCTGCTTTTCGGCACGAAAATTCGAAAATATAGCGGACTGTTTCGTACCTCCTTTTCTTCGGAAGCTTTCCGCCTTTTTACTGTGATACGTCCGCGGACCGGAAGTACGTTAGCCTACCTGAACTCACGCATTGGACATGAGCACTCCGTCACTCGGACGAAGAAGTTGAAAAATAATTTCATGGCGCCTTAAAACAAAAAAATGCCTAAAAAAAGTGTTTTGTAGGGTGGGAAAGATGTTCTCGATCCAAGTTGAGTTGTGCGTAATGAAGATGCCTAAGTATTTATATGACGTGACAGTGTCAAGATTGAGCGAGAGGAGGCTGTACAGGGTTGTTAGCACTTCCAAATATTTAGTTACTCCGATTTGACGACAGTTAGCTATATTAATGTTGCGCTGCCACTTTAAGCACCACGTGCTAGTGTTGTTGAGGTCAGTCTGTAAACCGTTAAGATCATCGCAAGGTTAGTAATTTTTCGATATAAGACGCAGTCGGCCACAAATTTGATTTTTGATATCGAGAATAGGAGAGGGCCAACCACGCTACACTGTGGGACACCTAATGTGACAGAAATTGGAGATGAACAAGTATTATATTTATTCCTACTAATTCGGTTCTGCCACGGAAAAACTGCGATCCACTTCACAATTAAAGCGTCTATTTGGCGGTTTCATTTCTTTAAGAATAAACCAGTTTGTTGTAAACTTCATCGAAATCCTTTGCAAAGTCAATGAATATGCACGCGCGAGGCTCAGTGAGCATTATAAACCAGCTCAGGCGCAAACTCCTTACTGATTGCCGGGTCCCGTCTCTTGAGAAGCCATCGGTTACGCCCAGGTAATCTTAGAAACGTTCGGCTGAAAAGACAATTTCTTTAGCACAGAGGCGGATGGACAGATTCGCTTTGGGCGCACCGCCACCGTTATTTCAATGGACGGACTTCCCGTTCAACCTCGCTCGCACATGGTGACTGCACTACAAACGCCGCTCGCAGACATATCGTACTCTTCGTGCTGTTAGCCCATTGATTGAATCGTTTCGAGAGCCACCGGCTGGCCACCAAAAGAACACGTACGGGACCGCGCAAGAGTGGTCGGCCCGTCAGAAGGTTGATTTTTTTCCTTTTTCTTTTTGTCTCGTCGGCGGACTCGAGCCGGTGTTTGTCGAGCCCTCGGGAACGCCGCCGTCCTAACTTGCACCGTAGAAATTTCGACACGCAAATTTCTACGCGAGCTCGTATAGTTTTCTGAAAGCCGTCCGCCGCGCCAACACTCGATCGCGTCGCAAATGCGCCGAGGCTGCGACCACCGTAAGGTCACGAAGACATAATGGGGGCCGTGACGTCACCGAGCATATATCCAAACGTATACAAACCGCGATCGGTTCATTAAATGCACAAATGATGCGTGTATTTTTTGCAACGCTTCGAAGCTGACTCGCGTGGCGTTCAGCCGATTCCGATGCATGCACGTGTATAGCTCGCTGCGGAGCCATAAGGCCTGTTCACGCACCGCTGTCGTTTGGTTACGTTGCGTTTTGTTACGGGAGATTACGTGTGCTATATACAAGCCGCGAATCACCGGGACGCGTATTCGGAAAAAAGCCTGCGGAGAAAGTCACCAGGCCGATTTCAGCATTCTGATGGGCACGTTTTTATGGACTTCGCAATATCGCCTGGTTTATGGGGTGGAAAGAGAAAAAAGAAAAGGGGGGGGGGGGGGCAGGGGCATTGCATTCTAGGTGCGGTATTGGGTGAGAACGCTTCACTAAGTAGGAGTCACTCCGGTGTGATCTGTAGCACGCTTCACGCTGATTGGGAGAGTCTGCCCCGAAATCTATGTTCCGGATTGAATATACCGGCGCCGTGCGTCTTGGAAAAGGTATTCTGTTTATGGTTTGTAAGCGTCCACTTTGCTCGTCCACAGATGTCTGCCAGCTGAGGCCGGGAGTTTCCCTCGCTCCATCCGAACCAGGTGAGACCGCGCCAGGACATGTCGGTCCTTCAATGGCGGCCCTATCAAAACGATATACGAAGCAGGGACCGGAATGCCGATCGTGGTTCGCAATAATTCCGAGGAAACCAGACAAAGAGAGAAGGATGCGAGACAGAAGAGTAGTGACTGGAACGGGTCTTCGACTGGTGTGTTCAGCGTCTTATGCCGTCCATACATCAAAAGTGGTTTCCAAGTGGCAACAGGAACGCCGCCAGGATCGCGGCCGCGGCGGCAGCGAGTGAATATAGATTTCACATTTAAATATTCTAAGCTTAAATGGTAAAACAAAATGGCTAGGTGGCGTAAGCTACCGCCCGATCCAAAGGGCTCAGCCGTATTCATCCATCCATCCATCCATCCGAGACACTTTTGTGACAGAAATCGAGAGATGACGTTTTAGGACGCTGTAAAAACGCACCGGTCGGAGACGCGTTTCAGACGCCATGACAAAAGAGAAACAAAAAAAGATAGATTTTATTTGTTTGTTTCGAGATTTTAGGTTCTGATCGCGAATATAGGTACGGATTATTTCAATAATTGCTTTTCGCGCGCCGCCATCTTTGGCTACTGGGCTGGGAAACACGTTCTGGGCATGCGCAGTGGTTCTTTTCTGCGCAATATGCGGCAGAGCGCATGAGCCCCCAGCACAGTGATTCAACATTTTTCGCGTGAACGATGAACGCTGAAAGGGTACGTGTTTAGAAACCGATATAATTATCCCACCATGCAGAAAAATATTAATAATAATATTAGCAGAAGAACTTGTGTTTGGGCTGGTTGGTGAGCGTTATCAAGCATGGTGTAAAGTGCAAAAAAAAAACAAAAAAAAATTGCACGCAAGGAAAGAAATAAAAAGCACAGACAGCTGTGTGTGTGTCTTTTTTGTTCGTTTTCATTTGTTTTTGCGCCTTACACCATTCTTCATAATATTATCACGAATGACAAATGATGAGACGGCGATTAACTGGAGAAACTGAACGTTTATTAGGGCGAGCTTGTGCCCCCCCTCCCCCCCCTCCCCCCCAAAAAAAAAAGAAAAATAGAAAAAGGTTAGCGTCGCAGGCGTCGATGTCGGCGAAACAGTAGGATCGAGGATCCCGGCTCGCCACGCGGAGCCCGTAACGTACACGCGTGGGCTTCTGGAGCAATCGCCGAAGAATGCTCAGCGCGTAGAACATTCGAATCTCAAGTAAGCCCCCCCCCCCCCCCCCCCCCCTTCCCCAAACAAGGTTCTAGAATTAACCAAAACGCTACATTTATAAAAAAAAAAAAAAGGTGCGTTCGTTTTTTTTTTTTTGGCATCGAATTTCGTTTTTTTTTTTTTTTTTTTTTTTTTTGCGTGGGAGCCAAGAATAATAAGTTTGGTGGAGGTGCGGTACTCGGCAGCTCCACCAAAATGTCAGGAATGACAAATGATGAGGCGGCGAATAACTGGATAGAGTAAACGTTTAATAGGGCGAACTTGTGCCAAGAACCATGAAGTAACAACGAGCGTACTTTTACGGCGATGGAAGGACGACTGCCTCAAGCAGGCCACGCGAAGCTCCTTTTGAACGCGCGTGGTTATCTAGAAGTTTCCGAGCTGTGACAAACAAGATGCTCGAGCCACCTGGAATATTCCAGTCATGCAAACAAAAGAAAGATAAAAAGGACAAACACTCGCAGGAGTCAGACCCCAGCCAGCGGAGTGCGGGTCGAGCACGCTGACTCAGCTATTCGCACGCGGTAATATTAGTAATGCTGAGTAGACCTTTCCTTTCTATCGCTTATCACCCGGGGCAAAAAATGCCGAGTCACTGAGCTGTGGAAGCATGCGCAGTGTTCGATATACCTCACAGAACAGCAAAAGCGCGTGCCCAGAAGGCGTTTCACAGCCCACCAGACAAAGATGGCAGCGTGCAGATGGTGATTTTTGCAAAAGTTCTGTATATATAATATTACTGATTTATGGCGTATATATTTTAGAGCCCTTTATTTTTTTCACTATGGATCCCTAATTAATCACGCATATGTTCCAATTAGTTTGGGTCTGTAGACCTCAAGTTTTTATTGTATCCGGATTTCGGTGCTGGGTATTATGTATCTCGGACATTTTACACCGCGTGCGGATAAGTGATAAATCTGCCGGAGACCATTGCGACCTTACCTTTGCTCGTCAACAATGACGAGCAAAGTGACAGATGGAATACGCACACACAGCTTTAACACCCTTTCTCTCTTAAGGGGTGTCCCAACAGGATAATACAGAACTCGTAAAGGCGACACTTCTCCGTCATATGAAGCGAAAGTTTAAGGTTCAAATTCGGCCGTCCATCTTCTGTTTGGACATGCAGCAGGCAAACATCACGGCTTTCTCCTCACCTACTCTGCTTTTTTGTGACGTCGTTAGCTCGTTAGACTTGACTTCAAACGCGACCTGCTAATGGTGTGCCTGTCTTATCGGAACTTGGCCAATGGTGTGCCTGTCTTATCGAAACTTGGCCAATGGTGTGCCTGTCTTATCGAAACTTGGCCAATGGTGTGCCTGTCTTATCGAAACTTGGCCAATGGTGTGCCTGTCTTATCGAAACTTGGCCAATGGTGTGCCTGTCTTATCGAAACTTGGCCAATGGTGTGCCTGTCTTATCGAAACTTGGCCAATGGTGCGCCCGTCCATCTGTTTATGCCGCTCCCTCGTATCCTTTCCTTTCCCGTTTTCGGGACTCGAACAGCAGCAGAGGCCTTGAGCGATTGACTGACCGCCAGTTTGTCACTTTAGTGGGACAGAGTCCCACTAGAGCAACAAACAGAAACAAACGACAGCCACAAGCCTCGAACAACCTTTACTAGAACAACTCTGTTGGGAAACTGCCATAGAGCCTACTTCGAAAAAGTGGCCTCAATCTGTACTCGAGAACCGAACTAATGGCGATCGCAGCGCCGCCATTTCTCCCGCAGCGGCCACACCGGGCACTGCACGTCTGCTTGTATCGGTTCAGGTCAACGTTACGTTCAGGTCGAGTCGCGCAAGGGCCGGTGGCGCCACCTCGCATTGCCATTTCGTAGTGTAAAGGAACTTTTATGTTTTGACTAGCCGCTAAAGAGTGTCGCTGTTATCGTATTTGGTTCGGTCTCGGTGGACGCGAGCGGTCTGGGTCTCAAGGGTGAGTTTCCCGACCGAGTGTTTTAGTACCGCGTTGCCTCAAACCACGGTGCCTCAAACACATGCAGATTGCTGGTGATGGTACCTTTAGAGGGCGTTTATATTCTATTTCATCTTATCATGTACAACAGGAAAGGCTAGAAGCGCGAGCTCTTTGCTCTTGGGCACATCTCGGCGGCACAAGCTCTCGTGCACTAAGGGCAGCTGCCAACGATATGATCTCGTGCTTCTAACCTTCGCTGCGGTACAACATAAGGTGAAACGGAGTTACAGTTGTTTGGTGCTCGTGAAGTAAGCACGAGGGATTGTAAGCCTGTCAAAGATATATACCCTCGCGCGCATGATGCTCGTGTTTCAGTATAGCCTCCTTTATTTATACAAAGACTGTCAAATCGTGAAAGAATCAAGTTTGAGGCTCGTCGCTGTCTTTTGTTCCTGTTCGTCGCTCTAGCGGGACTCGGGAATTAAGACGAAAATAGTACGTCTTTTTGGAGAGCAACATTGCTATAGTTCATTCACCGCTGACCTGACAGGTGACGAAAACACCTCGTGTTCGTCACCTCATCCCATTCCCAGTGCATAAGTATGAGGTTCCAAGCGTGATTACGGGGCGAAAGATAGGTGTGTGATTGGTTCAACGAGGACGTGGCTTCCACCGCACTCTCAGCTTAGCTCAGCTTAAACAAACAAACAAACTTACAGCTTGAACAAAATCCATTGGTTCCGCATTGATGCGGGTTTCAAGTTGCCCCCATGGCGGCTCGTTGCCGCGGCTACGTGGCGCGCTGCTCGACAAAGATGGGTCAAATGAAAACACGTTTTTTACACCTGCGCAGTGTTGTAGCCGTTACGGAAAGAAAAAAAAAAAAGTAACGAAATTCGTTACTCGTTGCTCGCAAAATAAAGGAACACTTTACCGTTGCTGTTACCGATAAAGAGAAACGCACGTTACTTTTGCGTTACTTTTTATGTATAAATTGACGGAAACAGTATTTTTTTCGGGCGATAGCGTTTTTCTACACTAAAATAAAAGCGTCAGCGTCGTTTTTATTTTTTTAAGTGGGATCTTTTGCGTGGAGTAAAAACGGGCAAATTTTGAAGGCTCGTGGAATGAGTGCTTAATGGCTTGGCGCCTTTACGTAGCCGACGCTACGAGCTAAAGGTAGCAATCAAGCAGCGTGAAAAGAGCGAGTCACTGGTCCTTTTTTATGTTTATGATTGGTTCAGCGATCATAGATTCATAACACGCGCAGAAACGTGACGAACACCATGATTGGGCGCTTTTTACGCTCTCTGATTGGTCTTATCAGCTCGCGTAGCGTCGGCTGTGTCTGGAGGCCGTGGTCTGAACTTCACGCCATGGGGCGGAATTGCATGGTTTCACACGTTTTTGAAGTCTCATGTTTTGACAGCCCTTTAGGCGCTACTTCTGTTAACCACTACCTACATTTGCAAGCAAAAAAAAAAAAAAAATGCCGGCCGCAGGTGTTTTGCGTTTGAACCCCTTCCGGGGATGGTTAGAGAGAAAAAGGCAGCTATAGCTTCCAGACTATACCCACTAATAATTCCTAACCAGAGATCTATATCCTGCTCTGGCGTCCCATGCGCTGATCATCAGCTCCCCTCCCTGAACTTTTAGCCGTCAACGCTCCAGCGGCAGTGGAACGCGAAGTATACACGTCCCTCGCAGTCGCACACACCCGCAGCTTTGGACCCTGCTATTTCGCATCCTCCCGTTTTCTCCGCCGCTGTATACGTGCCTGTTCTCTAAAGACTCCTCGCCTCCCACACACTATCCTATACCACATGTGCGAGCTCAATATTTCTCCTACAAGGC